AGTAATGTTTTTGCTGTGGAGTTCTAAAAGACAAAACAGAAAAAAATAAGACTCATGTTTCAATGACTTGCACAGTCAACAAAGTTAGATATTTTGGATTGTGAAGTTAAATCAGAACTGTTAGCCGTTCAATGTGGTTAGATTTAAGACTTTTTTTATAACTTTTGCATTAGAATAACAACACATACCTCATTATCAAAAAAGTGGTACCTATCAAATAGTACACTGTCCAGTTATTATAGACAGAGACAGCGTCCCAAGTATCACCTATAAAAATAGCACAATTTACAGAAAAGGAAGGTATCTAGCTTAACCTCCCTGGCGGTATTCCCGAGTGTAGCTCGGGGTAAAGTTTCAGTACCAAAAGCGGTAACCCCCCCGAGCTACACTCAGGCTTACCATGCAGCGTTGCTCAGGGATTCCCTACAGCGCTTACCTTGTCCTTCGCTCCCGCGATGTGTCCCCTGCAGCGTCCCCGGCCATCTCCTCCAGCCGATGCCGGCACCTGGCTTCCGTGTTCCGGTCCCTGTGACGTTGGGACGTACGGGCGCCGGAACCGGCGGCAAATTTAAAAATTTTAAAAAAAATGAAATTTTTTTTAAAACGATTATTTCATAGCAAAACATTCCTGTATCAAAGCATTTCACATACATTTTGTCCCTACTGCTTTGTCGGGCGCCCTGCCTGCATTTTGACTGTTCTTTCTGCCTGGAAACTTAGAAACGTCCACGGCGTCCAAAAAGCGTCCCTTTATGTCAAAAGCGGTTTTAGACCGGCTAGAGAACAGCGATAGTAAATCAGAACCACTTGCAGAATTGAGTGATAATGATTCGTGGGGGAAATTCCTCATCAGACACTGAAAACGATTCTGCGACTTTGCTCAGCGATGTGCGAACTTGGCGCTATATTTCACATTTCAGTGTTTTTGGTTTGATTATATTATTGAATTAAATTTATTATTATATTGTTATTTTTTATGATTATTTATTAAATTATAATTTATGATTTCGTGTTTCAAGTTTTATCCTCCCCGGAATGTTTACTAGACTCTTGTTCGGACAGATTTCAGGGAGTTATTCCTAAATTACAGCCTACAATAAAAAACAACATATTTCCATGCAAAAAAATGGTACCGCTTTTGGTACAAAATTCCTGACATAATCATACCGCCAGGGAGGTTAAGAAGTTGTTTTTATCTCTTGCAAGTAGACAATGCTGCAAGCATCAACGTTTTATTAACAAAGCATTGCGACAACACTTCTAACATGTTGAATCTTCCATGCAGCTTTCCATGCATTGCATTACAATAACGGGAACTTACTTTGTGTGATACATTGATGTGCCATTCAAGCAAACTAGTTTAGTGAGTGCTATGTGCTTCATATATGATGTATATATATCCATATATTTGTGCATAAATGTTTGTGCTTCACCACAATTTGTTTTCTTTACTCCTCATGTTATTCACATTTTGTAGAGTCTGTTAACCCTACCTACTCTCAGGTACTATACTAACTTTAGTTGTAAGTGCAGTGAGGATTCTGCATGCAAGAGTTCAGGCAAAGAATACTACTTTGCTTCCATCTAGTGTCTGCTTTATATAATTACCAAAACCTACTTTAGAACTACAGGACCATTGTAGTATGTTATATTAACTCCTAAATAATAATAACTCCCCAGTCATTTTTATACATGTAATAATAACTCTCTCTATGTAATAATAACTCCCCTAGTTTTGAAAAAGCTAAATGACATAAAAGTTGAAAGTACGAGCTTAAATTAATATGCCTTATCCGGTAATATATATGTAAGAGTGTTAACAGGTTTTAATTATTGAAAGTTATCATTAATTATTTGGAGGATCAATTCTTTAAAACACCAAATTCTTTAAAACACCAAATTCCAAGTTATAAATGTATTTATTTGTTTAATAATAAACATTTAATTCAAAAATTTAATTTATTTTAGATAACTTACGCATTTTCCTGTTTGGGAGTTATTATTATTATAATACAGGGTTTATATGGCACCAACTGTTTGCTCAGCACTTTACAATATAACGGGGGACAATACAGCAACAATACAGTTCAATACAAGAGGGATAGGAGCTTACAATCTAGGAGATATTACATATATAAAAATGACTGGAGAGTTATTATTACATATATACACCGCATTCCAAATTATTATGCAAATTCTATTTAAGTGTCACAAAGATGAAATATTTTGTTTTTCAGTGTAACTCATGGATGGCATTGTGTGTCAGGGCTCTTTTGATTACTGAAAACAATCTGGGACACCTGTGATAATTAGATTGGCCGGGGAGCCCAATTTAAGGAAAAACTACTGAAGGACGGCGTTCCACAATATTAAGCAGAGCACCATTTTCAAGCAATATGGGGAAGAAAAAGGATCTCTCTGCTGCCGAAAAGAGTGAAATAGTTCAATGCCTTGGACGAGGTATGAAAACATTCGATATTTCACGAAAATGTAAGCGTGATCATCGCACTATGAAGAGATTTGTGGCTGATTCAGAGCACAGACGGGTTGGTGCAGATAAAGGCACATTGAGGAAGATTTCTGCCAGATCCATGCATCGGATCAAGACAGCAGCTGCTAAAATCCCATTACATAGCAGCAAACAGATATTTGAAGCTGCTGGAGCCTCTGGAGTCCCACGGACATCAAGGTGTAGAGTCCTCCAGAGTCTTGCAACTGTGCATAAACCTTCTATTTGGCCACCACTAACCAATGCTCACAAGCAGAAACGGCTGCTTTGGGCAGAAAAAATACATGAAGACTCATTTTCAAACACAGTCCTGTTCACTGATGAGTGTTGTGCAACCCTGGATGGTCCAGATGGATGGAGTAGTGGATGGTTGGTGGACGGCCACCCTGTTCCAACACGGTTGCGATGTCAGCAAGGCGGTGGTGGAGTCATGTTTTGGGCTGGATCCATGGGAACAGAGCTGGTCGGCCCTTTTAGGGTCCCCGAAGGTGTAAAGATGACCTCTGCAAAGTATGTGGAGTTTATGACTGACCACTTTCTTCCCTGGTACAGAAGGAAGAACTATGCTTTCCGTAATAAAATCATCTTCATGCATGACAATGCACCATCTCATGCTGCAAAGAATACCTCTGCATCAATGGCTGCTATGGGGATAAAAGGAGAGAAAGTCATGGTGTGGCCTCCATCCTCCCCTGACCTCAATCCTATTGAGAACTTTTGGAGCATCCTCAAGCAAAAGATCTATGAGGGTGGGAGGCAGTTTACATCCAAACAGCAGCTCTGGGAGGCTATTCTGACATCTTGCAAACAAATTCAAGCAGAAACTGTCCAAAAACTCACAAGTTCAATGGATGCCAGACTTGTGATCTGCTATCAGATAAGGGGTCCTATGTTACAATATAACGTGACCGGTTCAAATGTTTAAAAAGTTAAAACGTTGTTAAAAGTTTGATTGAAATAGCTTTTGATTTCAGTAAATATGCTGCAAACACAACAAATGACAATTTTCAGTTCTTTACAACCTATAACATTTCAACATTTGAAACTTCCTGTGCGGAATAATTTGGAACAAAAATCCTGTTATCATTAGGAGGTTTGTTCAATAAAATGTGAATTGTACTCTTAATAGTTGATAACCTGAGAATTCTGCCGACTGTTATTTACAGCAATTATTTAGGTAAATGAGAAAAATATCATTTGCAGAATAATTTGGAACACGGTGTAAAAATGACTGGGGAGTTATTATTATTTGGGAGTTAATATAACATACTGCACCATGATTGAATATTCATGCAGCTATCAGGTCTTCTGTATACAGTGCTAAACCATTCAGTATAGTACAACTGGAATTAATACGGGTTTGTATAAATAATGAACAAATACCTACAGTATATATACTGAGATCTAATTAGACATATATGCCACACTGCATGGAATACACTTTTTACAGCTTTATCCATAATCCAGCTATACAAGGTAACTCGCGATTTTTTAAACCTGCTGGTGCATCTAAAAAAAAGTTCACAAGGAAAAGTCAACAATTTAAAGTACTGTGCTCTTTATTTTATTTAGTTTTTTGGTTTTATTCCATACTTAATTTCCCAGGTATGTTTAAGTTAAAGGATATGTGTAATTTTATTTAAATCACCACACCAGAAAACCTTTAATGTCTCCACTGCTCCAAGGGACATGATAAAAGTATGCTCCCAGAATACAGACACTTACTTCTATCCACCATTACATCAAACAACAAAATTTAACTTTTGGGTGTCACTACTTCTATTGGTGAATCAATATTTAAATTATTATTCCAACTATCAGCTAGTTTTTATAAATAAAACTATCCATTTTATTTAAACATGTTAAAATTAGTTAAAATGAAACATTCTCAGATCATAACAAACTGTGACAATTACCCTTCTTTGTATTTTTTAAACAGTGTCACTTTGAGCACATGCTTTATGGTCCACCAGACCCTTTCATAATTCCCACCTTTAATACTTGAAAAAGAGGGACAAGTCAAATTTGAACATTTTTCCATCAGGTTTTATACACATAGGGTGTGAATGAGGCCTTAAAATCAGAAGGCAGCATGCATAGATCATTGCATCTGATGGCTACCACTGCTGAATCCATCCACTAGTTCTTCAGTGATCCCTGGTTTAAATAAACATGCATACTTGGCCTTTTTAGTGGGGATCAAAATTCCAAGGTAAGAGTACACCCTTAAAGGGGTTGTAAAGGCTGAAGGTTTTCTGCCTTCATGCATTTTATGTATCAAGTTAAAAAACTTTCTGTGGGTTGCTCCCTCTACAGACCCCCAATATTTACCTGTTAAGATGTTAATAACATTTAATCTATACATGAGAACAGGTAACCACCTCCCTTTCCCTCAGAAACAACAAGAAAAGCAAGAAACCATCAACATAAAAAAATCAGTTTTCCCCCTTAACACCAATAGCAGAGTTTCTGGACTGAGAACCCTGAAGCAGGGGCGGACTGACCATTCGAGAACTTGGGCACTGCTCGAGGGCCCAGGGTCAGTAGGGGGCCCCATGAAATGCCCCTGGTACCTTTTATAGGCTTTTTTTGAGTGTGGGCAAGGACACAGGGGCCCCATGATCCCCTATCACCCGGGGGGCCCCATGAGTTGTCAGTCCGCCCCTGCCCTGAAGGGGAAAACTTTCATTTTGGTCTTCATCATTTAATTTCATAAAGTATTTTTTTAATGTCTATAGGTCACCTCTGGCATGCAAGGATGTGTTTTGTCATCCTTGTAGCATTTGGAAAAGAATATTTCTTCTCACAATATTTGCAAATTGCTGCTTTACTCTCAGCAGAAATTGCACTGTGGCATTGTTTCCAAACTCTAGATGTTGATTTCACCATTTCACTGAGAGGAGGAAATGGAAAACAGTTTACTGAGCAGAATATAGGTAAACATTACGCTGTGATGGTGGGGAACATTAATAGAAATCATTTAAAGGTTATAAAGATAAACGTATTTGAAAAATTTACGCTCTTACTTGTCAATGAAGGCTTGAGAGGACAGCAACTATCAAGATGGAGCAAGCTAAACTGGAGCGTTTCCCCTGCAGTGCTCCTTGTAGCAGAAGTGCATACTTCTCTTGTTTGAGAACTGCATTGAGAAGTACAGTGTTACTTGAATTGTATTCCAGGATGTGCTTGTCTGAAGTTCAGAGAACTTGCAATAATTTGAGACTTTACATACTGTATGAAGGTCTTAATGTTATATAGTTTTTAATACCATGCCATAGAGATTTTATTTATTGTAAAAGAACATATTTTACACATTTGTTTTACTTTTTCCGTAAAAAAAAAAAAATGGCTTGGGGGAAAAAACTGTTTTTTTTCCCGGATTTTTTCAATGTTTTTATGCCTTCCCATAGCTTGTTATGCCTAGTTATCAGAGAAATTTGGGAGAAGAGAGGTCCAAAGGTGCTGAGCCTGTGAGCCGGCATTCGGTCGGATTTATCACCCCTAAAATAACATTTTTGTCATGTCCAGTGCAATTGGCATTCTGTAAGGTCAGTAAGGCAAAATTGCTGCCTTTTTTTGTTGCTTCACCCTGTCCTTTCTTAGGCATATTTATAATATTTAAATTAGCTTGAGAAAGGACAACGTCAAGTCAGGAAAGTTGAAACAAATGTCAATTTCTCCATAACAGAGGAAGGCTCACTTCATATTGTAAGGTACACAAGAAGTCCCTTTCATCTCCATCAAGTTCTAGCCTTGCATCCATCACTCCAGCTAGACTTTAACAAAATGGCTGCCATCTACACAAAGACATTGACTCCCTGTTACATGAATGTGAATGAAATGGGTAAAAGATGGCTTCAGCTCCTGTTTTCCACCTGTAGAGAACTCCTTACATGCATTTTGCCCTTTCTGGGGCTTAATGGTAGAGGCAAGAGAGACTGATCCTGATTGTTTTGAACCAGTCTATCCACATGCTGATTCTATTCATACAGGTTTGGGAGGGGGAGGCAATTGAGCTGTACTATTTGTATTAATTTATTATTTTTATTGTTTTGGGCTACATCACTCCAGCCAGTTTTGACCACATCACATGAAAATTAACAAAAAACAGTGGGTCCTGTGCATCCACGTGCAGAGATCCAGTCTGGAGTTCTCTGCTGACACACAGACTGCTGCTGACCACAGAGAGTTGGTTGGAGGTACCAACTTCTAGGTTCTATATAGGCACTTTTACTTATTAACCATTTGCCGCCCGCCCTATGGCCGAATGGCGGGCGGCAAATGTCATCAGCGTTCTAGGTGGACGCCATATATGGCGTCCTCCCCCGCACATGCACAGATTGCGCTCCTGCAGAGCGGTGCAGTGGCGCGATCTGTCACCGGCCGTGTACCTCGGACACGGCCGATGACAGATCTGAGTATCGGCCCCGTTGCCGGTACCATGATGTGACCTGCTGTGACCAATCACAGCAGGTCACATGACAGTTGTATACAATGGATGGCTTCATTCATGCCATCCATTGTATACTAGTGTCTAGCTGTGAATGGTCACAGCTAATCACATGCACATGTCATGTGATTAGCTGTGGCCAAATCACAGCTAAGCACAAAAAAAAAAAAAAACCCTGAATGAATCGATGTCATTCAAGTAAATGCTTGCTTATAGCAAAAAGTAATTCTTTGCTATAAGCAAATTGTGTAAAAAAAAAAAATACTGATCACTTCCCCAAAGTAGTACAATGTTACTATGGTAACATTGTACTACTTTGGTCATAGTGAAATATGAAAGAACAATCTTAAAAAAAAGAAAAAAAAATTAATATAAAAAATAATAAAAAAAATAAATAAAAAAAATATACATATAATTTTTTTTTTTTTCATACTGTCACCAGTCAGTGTCCCTGATCACAGCCATGCCAGTTATATGATGACACTGTACTGCACTGGTGACAGTATGTAAAATAAAATAGTGGAACTAATTTTTTTAATTTTTTAATTTTCCGAAAAATTATGACAAAAAAAATACAACTTCAAAAAAACTCGCCATTCTTCTTATGAAGTACGTCGGACTGTCTACTCTGCAAAAAGGGGTCATTTGGGGGATATCTGTACTGTCCTGACATTTGGGGGATATCTGTACTGTCCTGACATTTGGGGGATATCTGTACTGTTCTGACATTTGGGGGATATCTGTACTGTCCTGACATTTGGGGGATATCTGTACTGTTCTGACATTTGGGGGATATCTGTACTGTCCTGACATTTGGGGGATATCTGTACCGTCCTGACATTTGGGGGATATCTGTACTGTTCTGACATTTGGGGGGATATCTGTACTGTCCTGACATTTTGGGGGATATCTGTACTATTCTGACATTCTTGGACCTCCAGAAATTAGATTGGCTGTCAGTACTTCAGGATTGATCAATATTCAGATCTATACCATAGTTTGTGAACTCTATAACTTTCCTACAAACTAAAAAAATACATCCTAATTTGGGTTATTTTCACCAAAGACATGTAGCAGAATACATCTCGGCCTAAATTTATGAAGAACAATTATTTATTTACAAACTTTTATAACAGAAACAAAAAAAAACGTGTTTTTTTTTTCAAATTTCTGATCTTTTTTTGTTAATTTAGCAAAAAATAAAAACCCCGGCGGTGATTAAATACCACCAAAAGAAAGCTCTAGTTGTGTGAAGAAAATGATAAAATTTTAGTTTGGGTACAATGTTGTATAACCGCGCAATTGTCATTCAAAGTGTGAGAGCGCTGAAACCTGAAAACTGGCCTGGGCAGGAAGGTGTAAAATTGCCCGGTATTGAATTGGTTAATAATAATAATAATAATAATTAAAAAATAGAGAATAATTGTAAGAGCAATACCACTTTTCTTTACTAAAATTTGTTTTAATACACAAAGGCTGTCGCTGCCCTTCTAATTTTGGACCATTCCAGTACAGATACAAGTAGTACTGCAAAACCTGTGCATTTAAGGATTGACACTATTTAATAATGCTGTGTTCCCCACACCCATAAGTCATCTTCCTGCAAACTCTGAAGCGCAAGTTAAACTTTTCTTTTTATGTTTTTTGTGGCTGTATCATACTATATTGTATAAATCTACCAATAATTTTCCAACCTTGGTGAAGGCAGAAATGCACAGTTATAGATATGATCATATATTTATTTATTTGTATGCTAGGTACATGTATAAAACAAAAGTATTTGCTTTCAGATGCACATTTTTTTTTTTAGAAATTGCTGTCATTGCATATAAAACATATCAATTTAGGCTTAAAAAGACAGCAAATAAAATTATGTCATCATTTAATAATCTTGCTTATAGATCCCAAGACATTATGGATGGCAGAGAAGTAAGTAGGACACCTATGGATAAAATACAGTCCCACAAATATTGGGACATGGACACAATTCTAACATTTTTGGCTCTATACACCATCACAATGGATTTGAAATGAAACGAACAAGATGTGCTTTAACTGCAGACTGTCAGCTTTAATTTGAGGGTATTTTACATCCAAATCAGGTGAACGGTGTAGGAATGACAACAGTTTGCATATGTGCCTTCCACTTGTTAAGGGACCAAAAGTAATAGGACAATTGGCTTCTCAGCTGTTCCATGGCCAGGTGTGTTTTATTCCCTCATTATCCCAATTACAATGAGCAGATAAAAGGTCCAGAGTTCATTTCAAGTGTGCTATTTGCATTTGGAATCTGTTGCTGTCAACTCTCAAGATGAGATCCAAAGAGCTGTTACTATCAGTGAAGAAGCCATCATTAGGCTGAAAAAACAAAACAAACCCATCAGAAAGATAGCAAAAACATTAGGCGTGGCCAAAACAACTGTTTGGAACATTCTTAAAAAGAAGGAACGCACCGGTGAGCTCAGCAACACCAAAAGACCCGGAAGACCATGGAAAACAACTGTGGTGGATGACCGAAGAATTCTTTCCCTGGTCAATCTGATTGAGAGCATTTCACTTGCTGAAGACAAAACTGAAGGGAAAATGCCCCAAGAACAAGCAGGAACTGAAGACAATTGCAGTAGAGGCCTGGCAGAGCATCACCAGGGATGAAACCCAGCGTCTGGTGATGTCTATGCGTTCCACACTTCAGGCTGTAATTGACTGCAAAGGATTTGCAACCAAGTATTACAAAGTGAAAGTTTGATTTATGATTATTATTCTGTCCCATTACTTTTGGTCCCTTAACAAGTGGGAGGCACATATGCAAACTGTTGTAATTCCTACACCGTTCACCTGATTTGGATGTAAATACCCTCAAATTAAAGCTGACAGTCTGCAGTTAAAGCACATCTTGTTCATTTCATTTCAAATCCATTGTGGTGGTGTATAGAGCCAAAAATGTTAGAATTGTGTCCATGTCCCAATATTTATGGACCTGACTGTATACTGATATGAAGAAAGGCATTTTAGTCTATGTGTCTACAGGCACATAACTGCTTTGCTCTGCCTGCGTGGTGTGATTGTTGTTGCAGCTGCATGGGGCTTTGATGAGATGTGAACCTCTGATCTGTAGCTAGTGTGAAAACCAAAGTGTTAGTATAAATTAGACCAAAGTAATGAAAGCACAATATCCTGAACTGATTTTTAAAACATTACTGATGTACAAACACTAAATATACACCAGTTGATAATTATAATATATATAAATATATATATATACCAAAAAGAAAACAAATTATACACAATACGAACAGGAAAGGGGCCCAAATGGACCAATCACAAAACAGCAGAAATGTGTGCTGCGGCATTTTTATACATGAGAGTCAGGGCTTTTTTTTAAGTGGGAATGAGGGGGAAAGCAGTTCCGGCACCAACATCACTGACTCTATGTAAAGGCAAGGGGAGCTGGGGTGTGTTGGAGGGTCTATTGATGCTGGCTGCTGGAGGGGATTTATTTTAGTGCGGGGTCTATTTTTACTGCTATTGTTTATGGAGAGGATCTGTTTTTGCATGAGGGGGTCTATTGTTGCTGGTAGGGTGTCTCTCTAGGGAGAGTTTTATGTTTCTTGGGGGTCATTTGTTGCTGGGAAGGATCTAATGTTGAGGGAGGGGTCTATTATTGCTGGTTGCTGTAGAATTTATTGATGCTAGCTGGGAGATCTGTTGCTGCTGCCAGCAGTCTATTGTTGCTGGGGTGGATCTATTGTTGCTGGAGGTGGTCTATTGTTGCTTGCTGCCGGAGATCTATTTTAGAAATTTACTTGTTATCATTAAATTCCATACAAATTACATAGCACCATAAAATGATACTTGGCTCTGTATTCTCTAAAAGGGGCAGTACTGGGAGGTGAGTAGGGGGGTGGAACAAAGGGATGGTGCTCGGAGGTGGGTAGGGGGTGGAGACATGGGTGACTCTGAAGGGGGGAGTTCCTGCACCTGAAAAAAAAAAACCCTGATGAGAGGTCTTGCATACTGGACAAACAACAGATATTCATATCTAGTATTTCCTGGTTTACTTTTTTTTCATGATTATACAAGCGACTGCATCCAGTTTAAAATAAGGCTGTTAGCAAACAAACAGCTTTCTAGCCTGCAACAGAAACATAAAACCTGAAATACTATTTCCAGGTATGAATATTATAACCAGTCTTCAGATTTCATTGTACACATATACAAGTAAAGCTCCCCTCAAGTTTAGCTAGGGGGAGCTAGTTAGATTTTAAGGCAGAGGCTGAGGGAAGAAGCCTGGGATAAGTCAGCCAGGTTACTCTAGGTCAGGGCAGAGGGCTCTGCAGATCAGTTCTCTGACACCTCCCCCTGCTCTGGAAGCTTGAAAAGTTTCTAGAAAGCAGTGGGTGAGGGTGAGGAGGGGCTGATCTGCATACTCAATTCCCAAGCAGGAGGCTTGGTATGATGTCAGGGTGGCCCTTAAGTATGAGAGAGCCCTATCAGCAGGGAGCAGTGTCGGGTGGAAGATGGAGTGAAGGCTGGAGTGTGGAGCCTGAGAAGAGGCCTAAGAGAGGGGCCTACCTAGAGGCAAGAGATGAAAGGTGGATCTCTCTGCTTCATTGTCCCCAAAGAGGACAGCCTGTGGAGCGGGAAAGAACCCAGCCCAGCAAAAGGCCTGAAGGCAGCCACCAACCCACCAAGCTCACAGGAGAGTCAGAGTGAGTAATCCTACACTCCTTGGGCCGGATAAGGGGAGAGGACAGTCAGGTGGAGAACCCAATTAGGTCCTCATCTGTGACTGTTTTAAGTTGGCAGCTTCTGGGTCCCCTTGCCCAGGGAATACCCTCAGCTCAGCCGGGTACAGAGGAAGACTCATCTGGGGTCTGAGGAGGTACACCAGAGAGCTGGAATGCTCTCAGAGGAGAGACTATTTTGTTCATATCTGTACATAGTTGCTATGGAGTTTGTCCTCAAGTTTGCAGTTCCCTTGGGCATCCTCAACCCCATTGAAGTTAGCAACCCCTTAATAATATCACAAAACCAAGCTCAAGCACTGTGTGGAAGAAAATGCATGTTGCTTGGCTGTGCAGAGCTGTAGGGGGACCCAAAAACTCAGCAACTCCTAAGGGGGTAGTGCTGCACATGGTTGAAAACTGTGAAGATCAGCATTGAGGCTTTTTCTTTTCTTTATCCACCCCTTACTGGCAGTTAGAATAAAAACTCTCCCTAGTGGCTGCTCCTCTTGTTGTCATTCTTCTTCACATCTTCAGTTATCTGTTTATGTGAGCAGCACTTCTCCTGTTTATACACAGGATCTTTTAACCACTTAGTAACTGAGCTACAGCCGAATGACAGCTACAGCACGGTTGCCCAGTTCTGGGAGGGCATCATATGATGTCCTCCCAGAACATGCTCTCCCCGCGCACCCCCAGTGGTGCGCACACGGTGATCTCTGTTATCACTGTGTCCTATGGACACAGCTGACCAAGTGATGAGGCCAATCACAGCGGCCTTTTACCACGTGATCAGCTATGTCCAATGACACAGCAGATCACAGAGTAAATACAGTTGCCAGTTATTGGCAGCATTTTCATCATGCTGTCACAGCGTGAGGAAAGTACTGCCGGTAACTGACAGCTGTCACAGAGCAGATCGGCACCGATTATCAGTGCCCTGATGATCAGTGCCCTGCAGTGCCTCCCATCAGTGCACAGCAGTGCCTCCCACCAGTGCACAGCAGTGCTTCCCAGCAGTGTGCCCCATCAGTGCTGTCCAGCAGTTGTGCCCATCGGTGCCCAGCAGTGGCACCAGTCAGTGCTGCCAGTCAGGGCTGTCAGTCAGTGCTGCATATCGGTACCCATCAGTGTCACCTATCAGTGACCATCATTGCTGCATATCAGTGCATCAGCATCAGTGCCTCCTCATCAACGTCCACCAGTGCCACTTCATCAGTTCCACCTCATCAGTGCAGCCTATCAGTGCTGCCTATCCGTGCCACCTCATCAGTGCCCATCAGTGCTGCCTCATCAACGCAGATCAGTGAAGGAGAAAAATTACCTGTTTGCAAAATTGTATAATAAAAACAAAGAAAAACTTTTATTTCACATTATTTTGCTCCTTTTTTTTGTGTATAGTGCAAAAAATAAAAAAAACCCAGTGGCAGTTAAATACCACCAAAAAAAATCTCTATTTGTGTGAAAAAAATGATAAAAATTTCATATGGGTACAATGTTGCATGACTACACAATTGTCATTTAAAGTGCGATAGTACAGAAAACTGAAAATTGGCCTGGGCACTAAGGGGGTATAAGTCCCCAGTAGGCAAGTGGTTAAACGGTACTTTTGAAATAATCGGCTGTCCACAGACTTTTTTAAACAAAAAATAAATGTGTATTCATATCTTCATTGTTAGTACCGGTGTGTGCAAAAAAAATCGCGTAGTTCTTATCTGTGACACTTTTACTATCTGTGGCTACTGTTGCAACAGATTCATTAACCTCCCTGGCGGTATGATTATTTCAGATTTTTGGTGCTGAAAGCGGTAGTACAAAGGTGGTGGTACCATTATTTTGCATGGAAATATGTAGTTTTTTTTATTGTAGGCTGTAATTTAGGAATAACTCCTGAAATCTGTCCGAACAAGAGTCTAGTAAACATCCCGGGTAGGATAAAACTTGAAACACGAAATCATACATTATAATTTAATATATAATCATAAAAAAAAAAAATAATAATAATAATAAATTTAATTCAATAATATAATCAAACCAAAAACACTGAAATTTGAAATATAGCGCCAAGTTTCGCACATCGCTGAGCAAAGTCGCAGAATAGTTTTCAGTGTCTGATGAGGAATTTCCCCCACGAATCATTATCACTCAATTCTGCAAGTGGTTCTGATTTACTATCGCTGTTCTCTAGCCGGTCTAAAAACCGATTTCGACCTAAAGGGACGCTTTTTGGACGCCATGGACGTTTCTCAGTTTCCAGACAGAAAGAACAGTAAAAATGCAGGCAGGGCGCCGGACAAAGCACTCGGGACAAAATGTATGTGAAATGGTTTGATACAGCAATGTTATACTATGTAATAATCGTTTTAAAAAATTAAATTTTTCAAAATTTTAAAATTTGCCGCCGTTCCGGTGCCCGTACGTCCCGACGTCACAGGGACCGGAACACGGAAGCCGGAAGCCGGATGCTGGCATCGACCGAAGGAGATGGCCGGGGACGCTGCAGGGGACACATCGTCAGAGCGAAGGACAAGGTAAGTGCTGCTGTGAATCCCTGAGCAACGCTGCATGACTGACCATTTGGAAACTTGGGCACTGCCCGAGGGCCTGGGGTCAGTAGGGGGCCCCATGAGATGCCCCTGGTACCTTTTTCATAGGCTTTTTTGAGTTTGGACAAGGACACAGGGGCCCCATGATCTCCTATTGCCCAGGGGCCCCATGAGTTGTCAGTCCGCCCCTGGCACAGGGTTACCGCTTTTGGTGCTGAAACTTTACCCCGAGCTACACTCGGGAATACCGCCAGGGAGGTTAAGAAATCCTGCCATATCAGTAATAGGAAAAGTGGAGGAAAATGAGACATCTTCCATGTCGGAGTACATTGTATTGCATGTGTAAATAGTGAGCTTCAGAAAAAATTCTGCTGAGACAACTCTGTGAGAGATTCATGCATACCTTACCAAATCTGTTCCAAGGTATCATATTTGTCACATTACTGGGAGACAGATTTCTAATGAGAATTTATAACACTCTCGATGAATTTCACAAACTCTCACGTTAAGCCCTGGTTCACACTGAATGTAACTTTGAAATCGGGCTACTTCACTTGAAGTAGTGTGACTTCAAAGCCGCAGATCAGTGCGATTGGTACCTCTGATTTCACTGCAGTTTGCGACTTCATTTAATAGAAGTCAATGGAAGTTGCAATGAAATTAGAAAAAAATAGTGCAGAAACTATTTTTTTTAAATCATGCTTCTTCAGTCGCACTGTTTAAGACATTGCCATAAAAATACATTAGATGTGACTTCAGGTGCGATTTGCAAATTGCATGTTGCACCTGAAATCGCACCAGCGTGAACCGGGGCTAAATCTAGAACACTGGGGGTGCTTTTCTTTTCTTCTTATCTCCATACATAATCTCTGACTGTAGGAAGGTTCTGTGAGGGCTTCAAATTCCCCCCCCACAGTTGCTCCCTTTCATGACTGGGGCAATGTTTACCAATCATTAGAGACAGCAGCTGTTGCTAGGGACTCCCTACAGCAGAATAACTATATCCCCTAAAGCAGTGGTTTCTCAACCTTCCTAATGCCGCGACCCTTTAATACAGTTCCTCATGTTGTGGTGACCCCCAACCATAAAATTATTTACCCATTAATTATAATTCATGAAGTGTCGTTTTACCTCCAATACTGCTGCTTTCAACACAGTAGCTGCTTTCAACACAGTAGCTGCTTTCAACACAGTAGCTGCTTTCTACACAGTAGCTGCTTTTAACAGAGTAGCTGCTTTCAACACAGCAGCTGCTTTCTCCACAGTAGCTGCTCTTTACACATTGGAAATATGTGTTTTCCGATGGTCTTAGGCGACCCCTGTGAAAGGGTTGTTCGACCCCCAAAAGGGTCGCGACCCACAGGTTGAGAACCACTGCCCTAAAGGGACCCCAATATACAGTATAGCCGAGGGATTTGAAATCCCCCTTCTCCTCCCTCTTCTCTGTGCAGCACTTCCAGGACAGACCAGAGTGATTCACTGTGCAGGCGCTGACCAATCAGAATCGCTCTGGTCCATTTTTTGTCCGAGAAGCTGAACTAACACTTTAATAACATTGGTGATATAGATTTATTAATAAAAGCAAACATGAGCATATCGTCTTCGTGGCTGAATTAGTAAATATTTCTTACTTGAGTTTTAGATTGTTAGACATCAGAGCTGGGAACAGAGGTGACCTTTCCATGCTGCAGTCACTTTTCCCCTGCAGTGCACTCTGTTGATTTGGATGGCACTTCAAACTGCACCCGTCAGTCATACTTTACCTGACGATGATTAGATGGAACAGAAAAGTCTCTTTTGTTCTTGCGGTAAACTATGACCAGTAAAGACATATAAAGATATCATAAACCTGTTTTACAAAAAAAGTTTATATATATACCGTATATATTTTATTTTCTTATATAGTGGCAATATGTTATGCATTCATTTTAGATACTGTATGTAGCACCCTCCTAGTCATCTAGGGGGAGCTATACTCTAATTGTTAGCTAGGATTGCTGAGTAGAGGTCTGGGTGTGATAGCCAAGAGAGTCAAATTCAGATCAGAAACTGAGAGGCTCTGCAGGCCAGCTCTCTGGGATTTCCTCCTGCTCTAGGACTAGAAGCAGTGGGCAGAGGTGAGGAGTGGCTAGTCTTTACTCTTAGAGGATCCTGGCCTATCCCCAACAGGAGGCTTGGCAAGGGGCCAGGACAGCCTTTAAGAGTAACTGAGCCTGCTCAGCAGCAAGAGAAATGGAGGGGAGTTCAGGAGGAGGATGGAGAGGAAGTGAGGCTAGAGAGCAGGAGACTGGGAAAGCCCCCAGATGGGAGTGGGCTCACCTCCAGGCAGAACCTAGGAAGGAGGAAAGCTTGGGACCAGCCACTTGAGGGAGGACTATCTGTGTATCAGGGAAGGAGTGGCCCAGCTAGAAGGCCTGGTAGCAGTCACCAGCCCACCAGCAACACAGGAGATGGACTGAGTGAGTAGACCTACACCCCATGGGCCAGATAGGGGAAGGAGCACTCTAGTGGGAATCCAGATTAGCAACTACCCAGGACTGTCTTACTCTAACGTGGCAGGCACTGGATCCCCTGCTCATGGATTTCCCTCAGATAGCTGGATGAGAAGAGGATTCATCTGCGGTCTGGGGTAGTACAGTAGGAGATGCTGGATAGCTTTTCAGAGAGAGACTGCTCTAAAGATTTCTACAAAATTGGTAAGAAGTTTGTCCTCTGCTGCCATTACCCTTGGGCATCCCATACACCCCTTACCCCATCCACGTTCAGTCTCCTAATAACACTTCAAAACAAAGCTCAAGGACTGATTACTCTCTCCAAATGCAAGTCTGAGTGAAGGAAATGTGTGTTGCTTGGCTGTTCAGGACTATAGGGGGACCCAAACTTCAGGGACTCCTAAGGGGGTAGTGCTACATGCTATTCTAACTCGTTAAAATAAAAATCTAAACATAGGTTGACTTTTTTGTAACACTTTTTTACAGTCATGTACTAATTATTTTACCTGATCTTTTTCCTCTCTCAAATGTGCTTTTTGCCAATTACAGAGCTTAATACTGACATAGATGTTTTATAGATGTTTTATTTTCCATGCAGTGGGGCTGTGTCCACACTGTATGAGTTGATTGTTCATTTTGTTCAGGGGGTCAAGGAAAGGCTATACTTACCCCATCCTCTAATCCTCTGGGAAAACAGTGCTCCCCCACGTCCAGCAGTAGATTGTTCCTGCCATCCTGACGTCAGGAACAGCCCATTCACAAGACCACTAGTGAGCGGGGAGGGCAGGAGCAGCAGGGAGCAGTCTTGTGCTTGGAGGATTGATGGATTAGGTAAGTATATCTCAGCTGTTATGACCCTTTCAACCCCTAGACAGAAAAAAACGAGCTACTTTAACCTGCTGTGTTGAAAGCAGTGTAAAAGCAGCACAGCCCCACTGCATGGGAAGATAACATTTTTGCTAGACCAGATTTTATTTGTGAGCACAGCCCCACTGCTGAGTATTTATTTGCCCTCCTGAGTATTTACCCCTCTTCCTGACCAGGCCATTTTTTTGCGTTACAGTGCTGCGTTACTTTAACTGACAATTGCGCGGTCATGCAATGCTGCACCCAAATTAAATTAAATTATATCCTTTTTTCCCCACGAATTGGGCTTTCTTTTGGTGAGATTTGATCGCCTGTGCGTTTTTTAATTTTTTTGCGCTATAAAAAAAACGTTTGACAATTTTGAGAAAAAAAATTATATTTTTGACTTTTTGTTATTAA